GGAAATGCAGAGCAGACCATCAAAGACCACCCATTTTTCAGAATTCCTTAAAACCTTCAGGGAGCAGAAGAGTTAACAAAACACATGAAGCTTGTTTCAAAAGCATATTTTATGTTGATATAGAGAAATGTGTCCACCAAAGGAAAAGTTTGCATAACAGTTTATGCAGATGATATAATAGAGACAGTATAAAGTACTTTGGAGTTGGAGTGTTGAGGATGTCTTATATATGGACCATCACATTCATGTTGTTAGGCTTTCTCTTCTCCTTTTTTTTAATAAGCCTTCATTTAAGCTTTGGTAGCCAAACTCTACCTCAATTCTTTTGTTTCTCTGAAGACCCATTGCTCTTAAGAGCACTGTTCAGGCATGAGAAACCATGTAAGTCTCTATCTAATTTTGGAAAGCTACTTTGCAAGCTTTCAGACAGAGCCTCAGGACAGTTTTTGCTCAAATATTAGATGTTACTGGACCTTCTATACTCAGGGTCTTTCTCCAAAAGGCCTTTCCCAACCCTCATTTTAGATATCACTCCCCACGAGGAGGAAACCATAGGTGTGGCATTGGAAATTTTTTTTTTTTCAGCAAACCAGAAATGAATTCTCAACATCACTAAAGTTTTCATTTATATCTACAAATATATAAAATTATTACCAAAATAACTTCTGTGACCTAGCAGTAGTGGTTAATCTGTAAAATGTGTCTTGTGGCTTGTTGAACACTTTTGAAAGTAAATAAGTGCTTGTTTTTCATAACAAAATGAGTGGTTAGCTGCAGTTCGATGACTCAGGACAAAATAATGGATCTTGGAATCACTCATTGTCCTGTGTTGCCAGTGTAAATCTGGCCAATACGCATAATGGCTGAAAGCTCTTGCAAAATTAGTGTCTGCTCAATGCCTTGCATAAAATATATACTGCCTGAGGAGAGACAGCCAAGTCACAAATCTTACCACTGTCATTGGCATCCACACTGGCGATCTCAGAAGAAGTCAGCTTTCTGAATGTCATGAAAAACGAGGCAATGTCTCCAGGTCAGGACTGTGAGACAGATTGTTATTAAAAGCTTGAAGGGCTCTTGCATTTCCATTTGGAGCAGCTGGAGGGGAAAAGCGAACTTTTAAGATGGAACTTGATCAGTTCATGAAAAGCATTGTGTGATATGACTGCATGTCACTGCAGAAAAATGGACATAGTGACACAGCAAATAGCTCCACAGTTATGATCCTGAGCACTATTGCTATTCTGTTGGTAAAAAAAAAAAACACAAAAAACCAAAATCATCAGAATTGTCGAGGTAGCACCTTTTTATAAGCTGAACTTTACAGTTATTTTTGCAGCAGCGATTCCTTTATTGTAAGGAGACAGAATGTGAAAAGGCAGATAATATTCATTCAGTTCAGTCAGTCAAACCGGCACTTCCATACAACCTTTTATGCAAACTGCTAAGGGCTCTTTACTATCAAACTGAATAAAAGCCAAAAATACGTGTAAATGCCAAGTCAAACAAATACATCTTGCCAAAGACTCAAAATCATATGAATAAGGACTAAGGAGTTCAGCAGATTTGGAACATAATGCTTTAAATAAGTCTTAGTCTCCAAATATACCTGTCAATATGGAGAAGAGAGAATAAATTATCATAGCAGGATTGAGAAGCGCATGCCAGAATGTGAGGAATACAAAGGCCCTGGATTGCCCCCGCACAGAGTTAAATCCATCTGTTATGCTTATTTGTTTTTTCTAGGTGTAGGGGCAATTGCAGCGCTTATGTTCAGGGGAGCAGGCGCTAGCTGACTGCTGGTTTCTTGCAGTTTCTTCTTTTCTTCTGAAGTCTAAAGAAAAGTCTTTTAAATCCTCAGAGTTAAAGATACGATGGAAGTATAAAACCAAACCCATTTTTCAGAATGCTTGACCACGCTGAATTCTTGTTTGGAGATGCTTGAGAGAAGCAGAGACACACCTTGCTGTTTTGGTTTTAAAAGCTTCATGTGGGTGAAGGTGAAGCTCTGAGGGAAGGTGTAGTTAGGCAGGTCAGCCTGAGTCATTCAGCTGATTTTAGAAAATATTGCTCTAATACCACAGTATGGAGCAACTGCATGCTGGAGAGACCTGGATTTTCAGTTGTCATCGAGCCGACAGTTTTCTAAATGCTTACAAGAAATGATAGACTAAAACCACTTACTAAAAATGAAGCCCATGAATGCTTCTTGCTACGAAGGCCAATTCAGGTTAGGGTAAGATTTTCCTTACCGTATTCTGAAATCCACACTACGGACAAAGGTGAGGACTACCGAACAAGCCCATAGCACACAGATGGAGCTAATGCTGCAGCAGAAAGCTTTGTGCATTTCAGAAGCAGGATACTTGGAAATACCTCCTGTTCAGGAAGGGGCAAAGCTTTGTATTCTTAGACTGAAGGAAATCTCCCTCACACACACTTTTTTTTTTTTTTTTTTTTTTTTTTTTAAATAAAGGATAATAGAAGTTCTGTAAATGCAAACTTTCTTTTGCACAGAAGCAACCTAAAATGGAGACAACATATGTACTTTGAATTTCCAAACCAAACAGTTCAGAGATCCTTCTCGGAAGAAATATAGCATCTCAAGGGCAGTGTATATTTTGATTGCTTCATCCTCTGAAAGTTGCAGTGAAGCTAAGGTATATGATAAACGAAGAGAAAAAAGTTTAATGATGGACCCACAGAAGCCAATAAAAGTTTTCCTGTTGACTGCACTAGAAGCAGATTCAGCGCATATACCTTTCATGAGTTGAACAAATGGGTCCTAAAAACTCAGGCTGGCTGCTTAAAAGATCGAGCAAATAAAGGAATAAAGTCACATAAGCTGTTTCTGTGTGTAAAAAGGCTGTGGGTTACAGGATTAATTTTTTATAGCGTATCTCTATACCCTGAATAACCAAGTAAGCCTTAACTTGTGGAATCTTAATAGCCATCTCATTGCTGAAGTCTAAAGGAAACCCAGAGGAAACTTAATAATATTAAAAGTTATTTTAAAGGGAGTTCACATTGGTTTGAAGGATATTTTGCTTCGCACACAATATCCACCATTGTAAATTCAGAGAACCTAGATTTAAATTCAGAAAACCTCCACACATCTTTACAGCCCTCAGTATATAAATCTAATAGTATTCTTAAAACGTCCACCGGTAAGGTATTAATCTTTTACAGATAAAATTAAAATTCTGAAAGTCATTGGAACAAAAAATAAAGAAAAATAGTAAAAATATTCCCTCTAGAAATGAGGGGAAACTTGGAACTTTGTGGTAAGAGGCTAGTTTGTCCATGTTGCAATGAATAGAGAATAGTCTGTACAGTTTTTCATATCTGACTTGCAAGACAAGATTGGAACATATAGAAATTAATGTTACTGAATTATTTAATAGTAACTCAAACACATGAAAAGAAGAATTAAAGAAACACAAGACTAAAAAGCCATTAAAAATGAAATCAGAAGCTTCAACAAATATAGTTTTCCCTTGCAGTCAAAAAAGTAATTATCAAAATTGTTCAGAATATGTTGCCAATTACTCTGCTCCATAACTGCTAACTTTCTCAGTTCTTCTCCTGCCTTTGCTGGGCTCTCTGTCACTGGAAACATCTTAAACCAATTTAAAGTGCTACACCTGAATAAACATGTTGTAAAAGTGTTTATGTATTGAAGTGGGTCAGTTCAAGGTATGGTATTTGGCTGGAACTTCTAATTTCTCTTTTTACTGCAAAAGGGCTGCCAGAAGGAGGAAGTCTGAGCTGAATTAATACATTTGTTACAGTGGAAGTAGAATGGAAACTACTTTAACCACAAATCAAACTGCCTCTTTCATTTACGCCAGTGATAGAGTTTTTCTAAGAAATATAGACTCTGGCGTACAGCCGCTGTAAGTTTGTGTTTGGAAAGGAAACCTATATGCTTATTTCTATAAGGTTTACTCCTATGCTTATTTGCAAGTTCTTTTTCAGGATGATTGAGTTAACAGTATTATACGTTTGCGAGGCAGATGCTCCTTTGCCGCCCATGTCGCAAACTTTTCCAGTCAGTTTAGAAGAATCCCCAGGCGCCCTGATGCGGTGCCTGTGCCCGTACCTTCCCGTTTAAAGGACCTCTGTGTCCCCCACCCAGCACAGCTGCACAGCTTCACATGACACTGTCTCATTTTCTGACGGTTGAAGGGCTCTGCATAATACACGTACGCACAAAAGTGTTTACGCTGCCAAAATAAATTCTGTTAAGAGCAAGGGTTTATTTGTTAAAATGTCACTGATGCAGTTTCAGTGACTTGTTTTGCTTTCTTTTCTTTTACTGAGGTTTAGATCCTATAATATAGTGAGGTTACCACACAGTCCTGACTGAACAAATATTTTAAAGAAATATGCACATCCCCTGGGAACAGAACCAGAGTCAATAATGTACATATTTCAAACTCTGTTCTCTTGAACCACTGAATGCCTTCCTACCTTTACCAGTGAATGAACATCAGTTTGAGTAACACTGCACAATATTTATTTTTAAAGCAGAAGTATATTTATTATCTACACTTCTCTTTGCTACCGATTTGCTTTGGGGATATAAGCTTCCATATCTCACACTCAAGCGATGCAAAAATTAGATGACCGTGTTACGTTATCATTTTGATAGCCTACGGACATTAACAGGGCTCATTTATTTTTCAGCTCCATAGATGTGTACAAGAGACTAAATTAAAATAGCTGTGTAATGAGTAAGATATATAGCCCACAGAGACTGCAGTCTTATGCAGTGAAAAACTACCTGAAAATTTGTTGAAACTTTTGTAAATTGTTGAACTTTTTGTCTTTTACTTTCCATTCAACAAAATGAGGTTAGGATTCTTAATCACGTAAATTCTATGAAATTCAGGATTATGGGCAAAATGCTTGCCATGCTTCAGTCAGCAGTTGAATTCCCACAGTGGCTTCAGGAGGGGCAGTTTACCTTTTAACATATGATTTCCATTACTTTATAGGTCGAAGTATCAACGTTAAATCTGCTGGCCTGATTGGAAGACATGGGCCTCAGTCAAAGCAACCATTCATGGTTGCATTCTTCAAGGCAAGTGAAGTCCTTTTCCGTTCTGTCCGAGCAGCCAACAATAAAAGGAAAAATCAGAACCGCAACAAATCCAGTAGTCATCAGGAGTCTTCTAGGATGCCAAGTGTTGGGGGTAAGATGAAGCTATGATTTACTAGTCTGTTTAGGGGAGTTATGGGCACCTGCTCAAATGCAGTGGAGTCACAGCAGCTCAACAAGATGCTGCTCATTGGCTGAACTGTCAGAAACTGTGCTCCTGCTCCATTTCTACCTGCCTCCTCCCCAGCTTTGCTTAAACCTCTTTTGTTACGTTGGCCCTGAGCACGATCTACCCTCTCTGAGTCAGGTCACTTACATGTATCAATGGCTCCTGGATGGTAAAATGCCCAAGCAGTTTGGGGAAGGCTGTATCTGAGCTTGAACCTAGTCCTATGTAGTTGGCAACTGGATGAGACCTTTGCTACACATGACAGAAAGCTAGAGAGAGTAGAGAGAAGGGTTGCACCCCAACTGCTTGTCTAGGAAGCCTTAGCAAAAGACAGCCTTTGGACTCTCGTTTAACTGCCTTTCAGCTAAAGAAGACAAGACGTAACACAAAAATCTGAATACTGGAAATGAGGAACCTTAACCAATCTGTGAAATTGTAAACTGTTTATGAGTTCAGACCAGCTGACACATCAATACACAGCGTATCCCTGAACAGAAGGAATTTGATCCCTTGTTTACCTGAAAGGTTCTGACAATAATGCACGTGAAAATGTTGTTAGTCCCATTAGAGCCTGGAATAAGTTTTGTTCCAGTTCTTTCCTGAAATGCTCCTTTCAGCTGGAGGCACAAAGTCACTTTCTAAATATTCTCACTTTTGAACAAACATACTTTTCGGGGACAGGGTATGAAAATGTGTCTTTCTAAAAGCATGGCAGATCTAGAACCAACATATCAAAACCTTGATATAGGTGCTATACTTAAACCTCATGTATATCTACAGGTAAGTAAATTAGTATTTAAAGGAAAGAATTCAGCCCTGGAGTGGAACTCATCTGTTTGAGGAGAACCATTATGAGCATTATGCATTACTTATATCCATCTCAGAACCTTGAACATGGCAGATTAGAAACCCCTCTACTGTAATGCATAAGTCTTTCCCTGATCTTCTGCACAAGGACGAATTTTGCCTTAACAACCACAAACCACTATGGTATTGCTAAATTAAAAACAGAAACTATTTGAATTGTTTTCTAAACTTATTTGAAGATTACCTGGTGATGTAGTGGAATAAAATCCCACTGTAAGGTTAAAAATGAGTCTTACAACATATTGTGAAAAAAAACCCTAATATACAGCACTTCAGTAGTGGGCTCAATTTTATTTGCATATGATGTATAGGTAGAAAAAATACTGTCCTATATCTCTAATTTCCACTGAGGAGCTGAAGCATAGTTATTTCTAGGGTAGGTGACTTAGAGAGATGCGCATGTTCCCTCTGAGGACCCCAGTTCTTTAAAAGCCCTTGACATTTGTTTCATTTTTATAATATACATATAATATTATATATATAATATATCTTTATTTACAACTGGGGTTTGTTTGTTTGTTTGTTTTTTTAATATTGTCAAGTTTTCTGACTTTCTGTATAGGTGTAGTACAAATTACTCATCTGGACAATTAACTTCTAACCTCTTACTGGCCAATATTGCAGGGGAGCAGTTACAAATAAATAATGAAAGAAGTCTCAAACTAGACAATTTTAGCTTGGTACTAGTGAAAAAAAAAAAAAAAAGATATTACATGTTCTTTTTTAAGGCATTTTTTAAATTATTCATTATTTATAAAGTGATATTGACTAAACATTCTTCATTAACTGCTTAGACTTTAGATTTTTTGAATCAATGCAGGTTAAAAATTGACTGAGCATTTTGTAACTCAGATGTGGTTTAAACATGCACATCAGTTAAGCTTGCTAGCTGATGCTTGCTCTAAATTCATCCACTTCAGTAGTGAATTAATTTTTTCTGCAGAAACTGTTCCTTCTGTTTTACTGTTATCACATGATGCATTTCCCTATTTTTGTAAAAGGGCTTTGGACTTAATAACACAACATGAGGGTGGGATTTTTGTTTGTTTGTTTGTTTTTAAGTACTGCCAAACATGGTCTGTTTTCCTCTAAAATTCAATCTCTTACATCAAGTGTAAGTAATGTGCTCTCTGCACAAAAAAAATATTTTAAAAAGATTTTTCATATTTCCTGGAAAATGTCTACTAATTTTGAGAATTACATTATTTTGGGGGCGGGAAAAATCATTTAAGTATACTTCACACACAAGATACCTAAATATAATATTTTCAGGTTGAATCCCATCTTTCTAGTCCATGAGGAAATGAGAATTGAACAGATTTGTTAAGCCTCCTTGAGTATAGCAGGAAAGCTGAACACAAGCTCCCTGCTGGTTTAACCTGGGAAAAACTCAACCTTAACACATGCTAGCAAGTTGCATCGGCATGAAGGAAAAGCTGCCTGTATGTTTCAAAACACCGGTCAACCTCATCTGTGCATCCAGTTGTGCTTCAGAGCTATTGTAAAACAAGAAAAATCAGAACATCTCCAGTGAAATAAGCATTATGAAACACAATTTTTCCTAACCTCTTTAGGCCCCCAGTCTGCATAAGCGTAAAGGTGCATCACTATATATGTTGATCCATGCCGGATCTGTGTCAAAAGTTGCACTTCAAGAAAACCATACTGTGAAAACAAAATCAGGTTAAGAAGCAACTGCATATGCAGTTGCATCAAAGGCAAGGGCAGTGTCTTCTGACTGGAGATGGAGGCAGCAAGATACAGGGAGGCTGGAATAAGTGGCAAAGCTGAAATAACCACAGCCTCACACAGCAACTTCCTCCATAGCAAAACCACTTGGAGGAGTAGCTCATGCACCATGGCAAATCAGCTTCCATGTGCTTCCCTTGCAGTTTGCCTCAACAGTCCTCATATCACAAAAATCTTCTTTTATCTGGGTGCTATTAAGGATCAGTGATGGGACTTTTCATGCTGTAAGTGATTGAAAACACTTTTTCTTTTAATAACTATCGCAACAACACTCATTAAAATCTGCAGATGAGCGCACTGATGGCTACAAAGGCAGTGTGCGGATTCTACCCAGATGCTCCAGTGTGCAAAAAAGACGTGCAGGAGAGAACACATTCTTATTCCCAAATCTTCACATCTTCACAGAATACAGGCAGAGTTCTTCCATGGGCATAGCCTGCTTCAGGGGAAAGCGATGCCCTCCTCCTCCTCTCCACCAGCCCCAGGAACTGTACAAGTGCAGTGGATATGTTGCGACCCTGCAGACTTGTGAGAGAAGGCTGATTCTGCTAGTTCTCCACAGCTTCCAGTAATGAAGAGCACTTTAAAAGTATAATTCATTTCTTCATATTTAAACCAAAGAAAAACCCAAAAACTTTTGCCTATCATCTTCCTCATGATGGCCTGTCAATAAACCATATTCAATTCTCATTCACCCCTTGATGCAAGACATTGTTGATGCATATGACAGAGTGATGGGCAAACGTAATTGTATGATGTAGGTCCCTGTTTCTAAGCTTATTCGATACTCTTATATCTACAGCACCTAAGTCAGACATTGACAGTCAAAGATGCTCATCTACATGGCCAGGGTATGTAGCCAGACCCAGATGTATGCTGTCATTTATATGTCACAGGCTTCTGTTATACTTCTCTATGCACATCAATCCCAACTTCACTAGTCATGCCTTCTTTTTCTCCTTGCTTTTCCCTTCTTCATTTTCTATTTCCCATTTTTTTTCCTTTTTCTTTTTTTTCCTCTTCCTCCTTCCCTTTGCCTTTACCTTTTGACATCTTCCTTTTGCCTTTTGCCTTCTTCCTTTTGCTGCTTTCTTTTCTGTTTTCAAATGTCAGTGATTAACTTTACTGTATCCTCAGAACATCAAAAAGGAAAGCCCCACTGGGCAACTCAGTTCTTCACTTCCAAAGGACAACATATTTTTTTAATTATTCATGAAGATGTGTGTAAACACAACATGAAGAAAATAAAATCTGTATGTGTCAGTTATAATAACAGCTGGGCAAATGCTGACAGATTTGGGGTCAGCATCCCTGTGTTGCTAAGAACTTCAGCATCAATGCAGTGCAAAGACAGACACATTACACTTAGCATTCAGACTCCACCTGCCTGCTCTGCACAGGGGATTGGACTGTTTATTACTTGCCCAGTTGTATTTTTGTCAAACTGTAGATAAAAGGAAAAACAAATCAAAACAAGACAACTTGTTCCCAAAGTACATCACATAACTCTTCCTTAAAACAAAGTCTGGCTTGATTTTTTTTTTTAACGACATCTAGAAAGAATTATGGTATAATTGGGCACAAGAGTATATACACATTTAAATATTGAATAGTGACTTACACCAGGAAACTCAAAACCAAAGCTACATAATTTTTGTTCATAATGCAGTGAGATCAAAACAAAAACCAATACTTAACTCTGCATTTCCTGTATTTTATTGGTTGGTGTCACACCAATTAAAAACACAGTACTTTTGTGATAGTATATATAGGCATGTCTATGTCTTTATTTCCCTTGAAAAAAAACCCATCCTTATTAAATTTCTTATAAATATATTTTCTTGCCCTCCTTCCACAGCTTTTTCTGCTACTTAGGGGTTTGGACCCAAACTGCAGTCCCTGAATAGCTGAGGAACAATGTTTTCTTAGTCACAATAGCCTACGGTTTTGATTCTTGACAGAATAAGCATATGGGCCTTGAAGCTACAGTATGTGAAATTGGATCCTTGGCACTAGATCGTATTATAAATGTCACATTTGATACTTGTATGAAATGTTACATTACACACATTTGTCTTATATGAAAGATAGAATTCAAGGAAGGAATAAAGACTTGCCCGAGTCTCACTTTCTTCATAGGTGTATGGGTTAGATGGTTTTCAGATAGATGTCTGCATATGAAATGCAGATCATATTATCAGTTTTCCTGGTGTGACTGTTCACCCACCGCTGGTTAACCTATATTCAAATAATTCAGAGTATCGAGACAATGAAGACATCTATGCAATGACTTACATATTTATTATTCAGCATTTCTCCTTTAACTGTAGGGACTTCTGCTAGATTCTGGTGCTAAAACTTCCGTACATATTCTTATATATGAAATTTTCATGACTGAGAGAAAACTGGCAAAAGCAATCTTCAGCTTTCATTTGTATGCCTGCTTGGGTGTGAGCTCAAACCAGATTGTGATTTTCCTGACTTTCTTGTCTGCATTTCTTTCCCACATTTTTCAGTCACAGTTTTTTTTGCAAAGTGACTTGCATTCCATATTGCTGAATTTTAAATTCCCACTAATAGCTAAAACAGAAAAGCTCAATATTTACCTCCTCTGAGCACTGATATTCGTCAAAATCAGTATACAGATCCTTGTAAAGAGTGATCAGTGAAACACAGTTCCATTTTTTTTTTTTAAGTTAAAATTCCTTTACTCTCTACTACCATCATCTTACTTCTAATGTGTGTGCAGAACATACTACATTATTACAGACAACTCAGCACAAAGGATGACTAAGACTTCTTGGTTTTGTTCAAGGCATATAAATTTTTGAAAACTCGTGGTGTCCTAGGGTATCTTTCCTTGCTTCCAGTGGCTACTCCAGAAAGACACAGGACTCATATATGATGTGGGTATATATTTTGACCCCACATGCTCTGGGGCAACTTAGAGTATCTGAGATGACAGCAGGTAACTAACTACCTGTGGAGAACCTTTAATGACTGTCATTGAAACTCAGCCCACGAAGGGCTAGGAAAATACCGTAGGAAAGAAGGTAATATTCATCTTTAAAAAGGAATGAGGATTTGGGGTATTATAGCTTAGAAAGCCTAACTTAACATCTCTGGTGGTACTGGAACAAGTTATTTAGTACTGCAAATGGATATAGCTTGACTTGTGCACAGCTGTTGGCACAGTTTCAGGACATGTCTATTCAGGAGGTATATTCAACATAAAGTAGGTACAGAGCCTGTTAAAAGAAAAAGAAAAAGCATATTCAAGGAGCATGTTACCAATAAGAGTAACATGGGGGGGCGGGGGGGGTATTTTGAGTGACATCTCATTGAGCCTCTTCTGGATCTGATTCAGTCCAACACTTTATTGGTAATTTGGATGACTGATCTCTCCTCCCAGATCTGGTATCCTCTGTGAACCTGCAGAGAGCACACTCTGTTCTATTGTCCAGGTCACTAACAAAGACATTAATCAGTATTGGCACCAGTTCTGATCCTTTAGGGACATCCCTAGTAACCAGCTGCCAGCTTTGTACCACAGATCACAACCCTCTGAGCAGCCCAGCCAAGTTTCCACCCATTATATTCTTTACCCATCCAAACCGTACCTGACCAGTTTGGCCCTAAGAATACTATAGAAGACATTATCAAAAATCTTCCTAAAAGCAAAGCGAACAACACCCAGTGCTCTTCAAAAGCCCACAAAGCCAGTCAGCTCATCACAGAAAACAATCAGGTTGGTTAGGGACAGTTTGGATTAGTAAATCCATGCTGACTGTTCCCAAACACCTTCTTGTTCTTCACGTACCTGGAGACAGCTTCCAGGAGAATTTGCTCCACAGACTTCACAGAAACTGAGGTTAAGCTGATTGCCCTCCTTGAAGACGGGTGTGACATTTTCCATTTTGAATCATCAGAAATATCCTCCAGTCATGATGAATACTCAAAAATGTCAGGGAGTGACTTGGCAATGATGTTGGTCAGCTCATTCCCCACCCTGAAATTCATCCCTTCTGCTCACATGGACTCGCATACCTTAAATTTGCTTAAGTGGTTCCTAACTCTATTTCTTTTACTGTGGGTAGAACTTCAGTCACTAGGCTGAGGGACTTGGGAGTCCTGAGTGTAAATCTTGCCAGTAAAAAACAAGACAAAAAAAGTCATTGGGTACCTTAACCTTTTCTGAGTCCTTCTTGTTGACCTTCATATCCGTCACAAGTTTCAACTCCAGCTAAGCTTTGGCTTTCCTAATGTCCATCCCTGCGTGTCCAGGCAATATGTTTATATTATTTCTGCATAGCTCATGCTAGTTCCACATTACTTTTACTTCCTACTTGAATTTGAGCTCAGTCAAGAGTTTCCTACTCAGTCACAGTAGCTTTGTGCCATACTTGCTTGACCGGCACATGAGAATGGACTTACCTTGTGCTTCTCTCAGAGATTTTCCTGGGAGATCACCCAGCTTTCCTGGTCTCCTTTGCCCTTCAGGCCAGTCTGCCATGAGACCATGGGAAGAAGATCTCTGAACAAGCTGAAATCTGTCCTGAAGTCCAGGGTTGCAATCCTGTTGTTGATCTTGGTCATCTCTCAGAACCTTTTAACTCCACTGTATCATGGTTGCTGTGGTTCTCATCAACATCCTGACCCCCAACCTGTTCTTTATTCATTGATTTGCCTAAATAGAACATAATCCTAAGGTGTTTAGGCAGGAGTATATGAAAAAGGGATCTTAAGCTGATAATTTGACAGTGTGGTTTTGCTGCAAAACTCCTGTTCTGGAATATATTGATAGAAAATAATCCACAAATTGTAGGAAAAAAATAGTTTACTGAACACACTGTGTTCAGCTTTGGCTATCACATCTTCAGAAAGACACCGAGAAACTGAAGAGAACCCAGAGAAGCAATGTTAGCCTAGATCAGGACAGCTGACAAGAAGCAGTTGGTAACTTTGCAGAAAAGCTCCTTTGGGCCAGCTATTTGGAAGAGTTTTCTGGAAGGATAGTGAAGTACTACAATGGGTTATCTTGCAGACTTTAGAACTCCCTTCCTCTCATTCTATGTGAAAAAGGTCTCTCTTAATTTTTCAGGAATTTTTCAATAGAGCATCTCCCATCACAGCCTCAAGTCTTTAAATGTTCAAAAATATTAAAGAAATGCTATTCTTAAAAATGAAGATTTTGTTTCTTTTGCAGTGTCTTCCTTGTTTGCTTTTTTTTGGTTATTGTTGTTGTGAATTTCAGCCAACCTTTTTTAGTTTTTTCCCTGCCAGAATGGCTATTTTGGTCAAAAAAAAACACTTTAAGCATTCTTGAAATGGAACCAGAGGAGACAGCCTGTCCTCCCTGCTCCATCGCATGCCTTACTGATGGCATCATTTGAATAGCACTATAAACCAACTCTGCATGCTAATGTGGTGAAGGCATGACCCTAGTCCCTTCCTTTCCTGTTACTCAGGGGCAGGAAGGAAAAAGTACTAGATTTTCTCCAGGATTAAAATTGTCCCGGAGAAGCATATATGGAAGGTTCTGTGTCCTTCTATCCTGACACATCTCTAACAGATGTGTCAGAAACATTCAGGTCTTTAAAAAACATGTTAGGCTACTTGTTTGCATTAGTATTGTCAACTAAAGATCATCAAATGGTGAATATTTCCCGAAAATATGGTAAAAAAAGAAGGAGTATAAAATGTGCTACTGTTTCAGGGCAATTTTTATCATTGTCAATTTATCTTTTGAATTGGGCTACTTTCTTTACCTGGCAATTAAACCTGTGCCAACATACAGGTGAATTCCCTGTATCTTGGATCAAGCTCTTACTGGTCCTCCTTTGATTACCTGTGTGAATATTATCAGATTTGTTACCTAGCTCCCAACACGCAGACATCTTGTAAATCTGTTTCCCCTAATGCTGAGTGCATCGTTTTTTTTGTGTACACAAACTGTATCAGGCTGACATTGTTGATTCTGCATTTCCAGGTTTACACTGCCTTTATGACCAACCCTAGGAATATAAATGACAGTATGCTTATTCCTTTCCTTTGTACAATTTGGTCAGGAGCCCAAAAATATCTAAATCTTGTTGGTTTTAGCAATGCTTCTAAACATTTTTTAATTATTATTATTTTCTTCCTGTAGATTATAACACAAGCGAGCAAAAGCAAGCGTGTAAGAAACATGAACTTTACGTGAGTTTCCGAGACTTAGGATGGCAGGTATGATTATAAATGCTGCTTTCTGTCAATTCAAATTGGGACACTCTATTTTACAGTCCCCCATTATTTACAGTCTGTTTTCTTCATGGTAATAGGTATTTCACTGATGAGAGACAAATTGTTTCAATGCATTTTTTAATTAATCCCTATCACTATCGCTTTATCTTTTTTGGCTGCCGTTCTCTCAATGATTTTGCAAACGTTAATGGCTTTAAGATCTGGATTCATTCACACAAAGATAAATCTGAACTATTATTGAAGATATGAATAGGTCTGCAGTAAATAAAACCGAAATCCCCACTGTGAGCAATGGAAGTTTGGGAATTATCACTTGAATTCTCCCAGGTTCAATGCTGTCTACTGCAGGTCAGAGAGATTTCACTGTGGTAGTGTCCATAGGGATCTAGAGCTTGGATCACTGATCAGTGATCATATTATAACACCATCAGCAACCTATAACCTAGATATATTGCATATGTAGGTAAGAACACAGAGATGGCTCTCTGTGCATTTCATATTTATCTGAATTATTTTAAAACAATTCTCCATGAGCAGAACAAGTCTACGAGGAGAAAAAGCGTGCTGTCTCTTTAGCGACAGCTCATCCTTTACACATCCAGCTCAGATTCTCATATGGCCTCGTTACTCTGCCTGACTTTTTGTAGTGTGTTTATCCTCACAGCAGCCTGAAGAAGTAGGCAGAGACTGTTTTCCCAAGTGTGCAGAGCATAATCACCCTGTCCACAGCCACAGAGCAGGCTTGTGGCATTGACCTGAACACAGGCTACTGAACAAGTGAGCGATTGTCTCTCTGTAGATCACAGATTTTTCCAGCTATCACCATTTTTTTCATGTTTTGAAACAGTAAATTCTGATATGCCCCAAGATGTGCAAGGCTCTCAGATCAGTCATTCAGGGTGGCCATAGAGAAAAGAAATTTTTTTTTTTTTTTTTTTCACAAAAAAATCCTTGAAGAATTCAAAGTTTCAGTTGAAAGGCAAAGCTACACTGTACAATATTTGATCAGTGAAACTCGGGGTGAAATGAGATATAAAGAAACGAAACCCAAGAAGTAGGCACTTGGTCCTCTTTGCCCTTCCCACAGCACATCCATTACCTTTGCCTGGCAAAGGAGGAAATCAGGAAACTAAACACACAGCTTTCATTAACATTTTAAAATATTTTCCCTCCTGGGGTCTTTTGCCCATGCTGTGTTGCTAGAAATACTCAAAATGTATGATTCAGTGGCATTCCAATGGGTAATCCCCAACAACCCCCAGTCTCGTGCAATAATACAATTAATGGTATGCTGAAGCAAGAAGATGTGTTTTACTTTTGTTGCACCAAGAAGTGCTCAAGATTTTCAGCCCGGGAAGTGAAGTATTCTGACAAACATATTTGGACCTTTAATTCCCCTTACAGCCGCATTAGTTGGCATTCAGTACAGATTTCTAAGTTTAATTGAATTTTCACCGGAGTTTTGCATAAACAAGGCAAATAATTCTTTTTTTGGGGGAAAAAAAAAAAAGTAATTTAACATGACACATTCTGAAGTTCATTTTGTCCTTGGACAAGTCTTAGTTAGTTTGATATGGTTTTAAATTCTCTGAGTGAGAGGAAAAATAAAAATAATTGAGTGCGTTTATTTGTTCTTGGTTTAGGACTGGATTATTGCACCAGAAGGGTACGCTGCATTTTACTGTGATGGAGAGTGTTCTTTCCCCCTCAATGCCCACATGAACGCAACAAACCACGCCATCGTTCAGACTCTGGTATGCCTCTGCCTATGTTGTAGTTGCCTATTTTGCAGTTGTGAGTGTCTTGGGACAGGGGCTGTCTCTTCCTCCGTTCGCTAGTGTTGGATTTTGATTATTTCTGTGTAAATGATAACCCATTTCAAAGATGTGCTTTGATGATTACGCTGGAGAGAGGATGAACTGTCCAGAGCGGCCTGTGTGGTTGGTTTCTTTTCCATTTCAAATGCAATAATGCTGTGTCATATTACTGGGGAATTGTGCAGACAAAGGGGGCCCCTGGTCCCACTTCCAAGAGTTTTTTGCAGCTTATTGAAGCACCATGTTAACATCTACATACTGTACCTTCCAGAAACGTTGACACTTGGCCACTCTGTGGAACTCTGTTGTCAACTGTTGGCAGAGATACTTAAACTGTAATTTAATGTGAAGCTTTGCAAGCAGATGCGTTTGCATCTAAGAAATTGTGTTCAATCATGCCTGGCTAACAAATGCAATCTATAAATAAGTGTGTTTGGATCTGTTGCTCTGCCTGCTACATGTAAAAGAGGATTTACAGCCAGCCTTTTGCCTCTGCTAGTTCTTATGTTAGTCTTGTGCACCAACTGGAGCAACCAAAAAGACGATCTTAGTTGAAGCAGCTGGCCAGGCCTCCGCTACCCCAGCAGCATTCAGCTGTGGTTCAGAAAACACAGCACCTACAGAAACTAACACCTTTAGACTATGCCTAAATGCAATGTTGTGAGTCCGATGCCTGGTCATGATTTGCCACCTATGCTAGCGGAAGAACTGGCTGTGAACATCATCAGTATTAGCAGAATGATTAAGCAGCAGAGGAATGAGAGATAATACATGAGGAGGGAGTGGGAGTATGAAATCAGAACAGGAAAGGGTTGCCATCCCTAATTAGTTTCTGGAAAGGTCAAGGCACCCGACTGCAATTAGAGAAACATGCATTTAAGGATCCCTCTGATTTAAACTGATGATAGGAAAGTATCCTGACTACCAGACTATGCTGAGTTGTCTGTCCGTGGATGGTCATCTTTTTCTTTGATTTTAACATAAAAACCCTGGGCCTGAAAAACCTTCTTCAGAAATGAGTGCAGCTATTACCCTGAAGGAAAAAAAAAAAAAAAAAAGAAAAGAAAAAAAAACCCAAAACACTCCCCTCCCCCAAAAAAGGGGGGAGAGGAAAAACCACAAACACACAAAGAAAGTTTGGTCTATTTCTGATAGAAAAAAAAAATCTGCTAGTGAAAACTGCCAAGTATTTCTACATAAAAGTGACAATTTTAAAGCCTCAGCATGTGCTGAGGCCTTTTCCTTTCCATTCAACTTTTCATTTATGGACCTTCTACAAGTCCAGCCACCAATGCAACGTTATTCCTGTATACCAGAATTCAAGTCAGCAAGATTCACAAAGAGAAGGGAAAAAGTCAGAGGCTGGAAATAAACAGAAGAATTGAGGTAAGGGGTTCAGGTGAAGGGGAACAGCAAATGCTGGTTGGCAAGGAATATATTAATGTGCCTAGGAGATGACGAGGAACAGCACATATGCAGTCCTCAGCTGAAAAGAAATAGGTCAGCAAAGCAATAGTTTAGCATTATGCAAACATTGACCAGAAAAGTTGCCAATACCAGTGAGATTCCCCAGGTTAGAGTTCCCTCCTGCTATTATGGACTGTTAAATAAGAAGTGGCCCAGCGCTACTTTCTCTTGTGTGTCTATCCTTTCCAAAAATGGTTAATTTCCATTGTTAAGAAATTCGTGTAGTTTGTCCTATTTTTTAAATTGGATACTGAAATTTTCCCTCCTTTTTATGGCCTTTTTGGAATTGTGTGTCTCCCTCTGCATGTACTGTACATGCATTCAGTTGTGCAGCCAAAAAATCATGAGGCTAATTAAATTTTAACTGCACATAAATTAGATGAGATAACAGTAGTTGAATGCTTTCTGGTTTAAATTATACAAAATTCAGATTTACACAAGGTGTGCACATGGGGATGGCTTGGGAAACAATTATTCATACACCCCACCCTAATCCAAATGTAATCATCTCCCAGCCATACTGATTACACCATTCTAAAAAAGCCCACTCTTTGGGTTGGGAAGTGATTGTTCTTTGGTACCCCTCCAAACTTTACTGACTCTTCTTTTTTTTTCTTTTGTAAGAAGAATAGGAGAAGTGCTGGGCCAGTACCTCTCTCTCTCTTCTTTTTCTGAGACTGAACTTAGGCAGACAGACAATACAGGCACATATAACTACGAGACAGACTGCATTTAATGAATTTTATAAGCTTTCTTCTCTGCTCTTGATTCTCACCACGCTCTGAACAGGCATTGGAGTAGAATTGACCTCATGGGCATGGAAGTCAGTGGATTAGCAGGTCAACTATCCCTGACTTCCAGGCTCACTCTGGAAAAGGCTGTGAGCATCGCTGTCGTGCAGGGATAGCAGGGACATGGAGCTCCCATCTGGGGTGGCAGGGGCTGGCGGGACCAGGAGTTACAGCAGGGCAAACATCTGCCTAGACGAGGCACAATCATTCTTTTCTCCAGCGCTTTGCTATTCATTTGTTAAACTGTTTTTAAATGTGTGTCTAAACCCTTACTAAACTGCTACTTCAGGATTTATTATTGCTCATTTCAAAAGACCTTCTCATGGTAACAGTTATGTAAAAATCGTTTCCTGATAGACTGTTCTCTGTTGTCTGGCAAAGGCTCTGGGCTTATATCACTGCAAGACAGATGGCTCTAACAGATTTACAAAGACTTAACATACAAATGAAACCTATTACTGCTGAAGTCTTCATCCATGCCTTAATAATCTCTTGCCCTCTCTATTACAACTCCCTCTTTTCTGGCCTCCCCAGTTTCCAAGTCTTCAGCATGTGTAGATTATTACATCCAACCTTCTTTCAAGTACAAAGAATTTGTATTTCCCCCATTTTTAGATATTTCCACTAGATCTCGTTGGTTCTGGGATGCTGTTCAAACCTCTTTTCCTTCTCTTTAACCTTTCATTGATATATTTCAGCCTAGTGTACATAATGCCTCCTCTGCCTCAGCCCTTTCCCCAAACCTTCTGTCCAGCTGGCACCCACCTTATGAATTGATTTTGACTTCAGTGGAAGTAGAATTAGATCCATGGATACCTAGATAAGACCTTAAAATACAGTCACGCTGTCTGAGAACCCACGTCTTACCGTTTCACAGGCTGAAAACAGTTTCAGTATGAGCCTTTGCCTGCACAGCCTTTGCTGTCCTCTGCAGACTTTGCTCCGCGCTAAGACCCTGCCACAGGAAAGCATTTTAACACATGCTGGGGTCCTGGTGAGACCCGGGATTGAGCCTGTGCTTTGTGTTAAGCAGAGATGGTACTGACATCCTGAGATCCTCAGCAGAGGTGGTATTGACATTATGTTTTAAGTGTTTTCCTGCGCAGCCGCCTAACTCCAACTCTTTTCTAAATTTCATCTGAAACCCAACTCTCTGTCTTGGCCATTCCTCATTTATCTCTCCATATGCTCTAATTGTATAACTCTGCCTGCACGACTGAAATCAGAACGTTTTGGAGGTAAGTTGCGCTTTAAAGTTGCTAACCGAGGAAAATCTATGACCATAGCACTCTCTGAACTGCAAAGACATGTTTCGCACTGACGTTGTCCTCGTACCTTTCCGTTTGATATATGATATATATTTATCTGTCTTTCAGGTTCACTTGATGTTCCCTGATCATGTACCAAAGCCATGCTGTGCACCAACAAAACTGAATGCGATCTCCGTGCTCTACTTTGATGACAGTTCCAATGTTATTTTAAAAAAATACAGGAATATGGTGGTGCGTTCATGTGGCTGCCACTAGAATAAAAAAAAATAATCTAAAGCAGAGGGTTTTATTCAGGATTGTAATAAAGTCAAGATATGAGCCTTGCTGATGAAAAGGCAGTCCTAAATTTATTCCATTTCATGTCATCTCTCATTTAAATGTACAGTATAATGTATATAGTAGCTTTTATTTATTTAAAAGTATATAGTTTCTTTTGTATGAGCAAAATTTCAGAACCATTTATTTTATGGGTCACCTCACTATGCAGCAGAACTTCACAATTTTTCAATTGACCATACTGGAATCTATTTCATTCCATTTCAATATTTTAAAGTAAAGCTTTTGTATAGTTTTGTTGGGTTTTTTTTTTTAAAGCTAGAAACTCCAGAACTTCTGTAACTGCTTGGTATTGTTAAAGGAACTAAAATACATTTGGTCAAATTGTGCCAATGAAAACTGTGGTGGGGTATTTATTTAGAAAAAGGCACAGAAAAAACCTAAACAAAACTTCTTGGCAAAACATATTTTTTCTTTTAGAAGAACTTCTGCTCCATTAGAAAAAGAAAAATGTTGAACAGTGCTTAAGTAAATAAATAGTAGATAGAAAATAGAAGTGGAAAGATTGCACATAATTGTTATAACTATTTTCTTTAGCAAGATGAGTGTAACTGGAGGAGTATGTTACTTCTTGGCTTGTGGGCTGCAGAGTTTGCAAAAGGCTCAAAGCTTCAGGAATTCTGTGGAGACAGACTCTCGCCTCTATCTACGACTTTCCAAGTTAACACTAAAAGTTGAACTACAACATTCTTACCTCAAATCATATCAGTCTATTACCTATTACACTGCTCCAGCAAATATTTTTATAATAACAGCACAAGGTAAAATCAAACAAAAAACACATACAAGCTTTCCCATCATATATACAAGTTACTATATACACAAAATATACAGAAGAGAGGGTATGGAAGGACTTTGCTTTATTTAGCTCCCACATTTGGATGTGTTTTCTGAGTGTGCGAGGGAGGGCACAGGGGATGCAGAAGTTGTCACCTGTTTAATTGCAAATATTGTCCCTGAGGGTGTCTGTTTTCAGGCAAAGGTGAAAAACACCTCTCATAATGAGCCGTTGGGTAATTTGCAGACTACGTTCAGTCCTATCTGCTTTTCTATCAGGGGGAGATTGGTTTAAATCATGAGACTTAAGATGGGATATCTTTCCTTTTTTTTAGCATTAACTATCGTAATTTTGAAAATTCTTAAATCCATTAAATATTTTTTAATCCCCCTAAATTTTTGACCCCAAATGAAATTTTGTGGTTGTGAATTGCACAACTAATTACAGATTATCATTCCTACCACCACTACCCATATGCTTATTTTGAATTAACCACATTTAATGTCTTTGGACGCCCTTTGTTTTAGTGTTATGAAAATGGGGAAATCGAAACTCTGTTTTCTCTTTATTACATGGCTAATTATAGTATATGCTTTTATCATAAATTTCCTTGATTAAAAATGCTTCAATTAAACAGTTCTCAGAGAGTTGTTAAAAAATGAATAGGACATATCAGTTTCTCCTTAGACGGTTTATTCATGTAAACTCTTACTGCTCTGGTTATTTAAGGCATATTTCAGAAAACTCAGATTATTATGGACTGATAAAATCAGCGTGTGCGTGTGACTGTGTGTATGCATGTGAATGTGCAACTGTCTTTTTTGCAGAAACTAATTTATTTTATCTTGCTATTGGAGTAATACTTAAATCCTTTTTATGCATACACTCAGTTTTTTTAAAAAATTAACCGTTCTAATTTCAGTCTTGGGAGCTCTTTTCCCTTAATACAACAGTTCCATTTACACTTCCATCTCTATTTTATACTGACATTACCTACATATCTATGTTTAGTTGTGGTTCATGCCCAGGGGGTGCATTGCAAAATATAATGTCTCCAACTGAATTACTGTTTCGGAACAGTTAAATTCCTGGGTTGTCTTCAAATAACTTACAAGTTTCTGTATAAATTGGGTAGGTGGATATGCGTTTTTGAACTCAATTTATTCTAAATGGAATTTGATGGAAACTAAATTTTGGGTACATTAAGTAATATATTTTTAAATAATGGTGTACCATTTTGAGAATAAGAAACTGAAGATTATTGTTATATTATTCTTTAAAATATGCTGTTGGAATATATTTCTATATTTTGAGACATAATAAACCTGTAATAGTATTTTATTCTGCTGTGATTTTGCTTCTGACACACATGACAAAATGACACTGACTTCATATATTCTTTTAAAGTTAAAAGCAAGACATCATCATAGATTTTGTTGTGGTTCATTTTTTAGTACAGACATTTTAAAAAATTACTTTTATTTTGTTTCTTCGTAAAGTGCAGCTGGTGAACCATCTACACTATCAATAAAAATCATGTCTTCAAGTCATACCTCCAAATGCTAATACTCTACTCAAATTATACCAGAAAGGAGAAATCATTTTAAAAATTCTCCATAAATCCCTAACAGGTCATTCATCTCTTTGAAAGGAAGGATAGTGGCATTCATCTCTTTGAAAGGAAGGATAGTGGCACCACACCTTCTGCATGCTCTGGATAAGTGTTTTTATGTAAACTTGTTCAGGTAAGCCCTTCTCCACTAGTACCTAATACAGGGCTTTTTGTTCTTTTGTTTGGTCCTATCAAATACCTGTTATTTTATATATATTTATACATAAATATGTAAGGTTTCCAGGGAGACCTTACTGCAGCCTTCCAGTATCTGAAGGGGGCCTACAAGAAAGCTGGAAAGGGACTTTTTGCAAGGGCATGTAGTGATAGGACAAGGGGTAATGGCTTCAAACTGGAAAAGGGGAGATTTAGATTAGATATCAGGAAGAAATTTTTCACTCTGAGGGTGGTAAGGCATGGGAACAGGTTGCCCGGCAAAGTTGTGGATGCCCCATCCCTGGAAGTGTTCAAGGCCAGGCTGGATGGGGCTTTGAGCAACCTGGTCTAGTGGGAGGTGTTCCTGCCCATGGCAGGGGGGTTGGAACTAGATGATCTTTAAGGTTCCTTCCAACCCAAACCATTCTGTGATTCTATGATAATATATACACACACCTATATAATGTAACATCTATATAATTATATTAAATTACATCAAATATATACCCATATCTATAGCTATATCTATTTCTATAGTTAGGAAGACCATTGCATTACCATTTAGGACACAAAAGCTTTGGTTTTTTTAAAGTTGTTTAAGCTTTCTGCATCCTTAACAACTGGAAAGAGTCTAAAGGACTGAAAACCAGAAAAACAGAAGCAGTTCTGAACAGAATTAATTTTACGTTATGGGTAAGAGCTTCTCAGTCTTTAACTTATTCACATTCATAATACCATTGCTACACATCCTGGGCTGAAATCAAATGTTTACAGGATGTTACTAGTGACAACCTCTATGGCTTAGGAGTACTCACCCAGTGGAAGTGAGAAGTTGAGAAGTGAATATAATTGCAGCAGTGATTTCATTTCCCTTTAGAAGTGTGTTGTTCTCCGAGTTTGATTTTGATGTCCAAGACAAGGTGAGCTCTGATTCATTGAAGTGTGGAGCATTTATAAGTTCTCTGATGCTCTAAGCTGTGAACTCATGTAACAGTCTTCCTTCAGACAGACCACTTGATGGGCATCTCTGCTTTATCTGGATGCCCATTTCCACAAAGTATTTATAGGGTCAAATTTGTCTCATTTTGGCCAATTAATTAGGGAGTAGGGGTGGGAGACACTTGTTGACAGTCAAAACCATACCTGTTTGGATTGCATTAGTCTTTTTTTGATACAGGATCAAGCTAAACATTAAATTCATATAAAGCTGTCTGGTAGCTGACAACATAGCAATACATCCAATCAGTACAAAGTTCAGCTAGAGAGATCTCAGACAGACATTGGCGTGGATGCCTTCAAACAAAAACGATGATCATTCCTTGTTCTGTCTCTGCCTGAAGGACTGTCATGACTGACACGTCCTTTACAACCCCATGACTCTGGCAACTGTAGCAAAAGACACCTTTATAATAATGTTACATTGCTGAAAAATTTTATTGGGATGTTTAATTGGGATGTGACGCTTCCAGAAACTTTTTGTTATCGTGATGGGATGTCAGACACTTCCATTTTGGAATATAATTTTCTCTACCATTTACTTGGAAAAGGTTGGCTTGCTAACTGCGTATTTCTGGGGTTTTTTTGTCAGCTCCTCTTTTGAAACAGTTTCATCATAAATTGACTTTGACTCAAAGATGGTTATTTGAAACAGTTTCATCATAAATTGACTCAAAGATGGTTAAAAAAACAATTTAGGCTTGTACTCTCAAGATTCCAAATTGTTTCAGCAATAACAAAAGGATTCTAACATCCAGGACTTCAAAATTATGTTCTTTGCAATCTCTACCAACTTCTCTGCACACACATTCAGCTGTGCATAGGGAGAATCTGACATGTGGTGCCTGAATGACGAACAAGCCACATGTGAATAATACAGCATTATCTTTTACTATCTCATCTGCAGTCACAGAACTTGCAAACTGTGATTTACAATGTGTTACTGAATTCTTACTCACATGGCTTGAGCAAGAGCTTGATTAAAAACAAAAGAAAACTAAACTAAAAATCCAACAAAAAGCAGCGAGAGGAGGTTTTCCTGCCATCTTAATTCAAATAAATCAGCACCAAACGTGGTACATGAGGGATTGGGAATCTCATGTGAATTAAATGGGCCTTTTGTATTCTGCTTTCCATATTTACAACACATGACACAGACACTTCTCCTGACTGCTATATTTCTAGCTAAATACTTTCTGTTCTGTTCCTTCACTTTTTTGCTTCCAGATGGGCACCATCAATTATTATTATTAGTATGAATGAACATATTTTCATTGCTTTAGCAGATGTTAATGCTTTACAAAAGAAGTATGTGTTGCTACTTTACAGGTACACAAAAGTGGAGAGACTTGCCTAAGAGAAAAGCAGATGAGAGGCAGTATAGGGGAGACAACCAGATCTCCAGTGTCCCAGTCTCCTGTCCCACGCTCTTGGTGGAGGGTTGCGTATGCTTGACACTCCTGTCCCTGAGGCTGATAACTTTAATGGTTGATGAGCAATCTTAGGGGTTACCCGGACCTATACTTTGCATTTACCAACTGCTTTTCCAGTTTCATGGTTGTTTGTGGAAATCTGGTCAGTGAGTGATAAAATGGAGGCACGTGCAGGGTGCAGACCACATCTTTCCTGCATGGGGGTGGTTGTATTTTAAAGCTGCTTCTATGGAACCAACCAAGATCTCCTTGAAGCAGATCTTGGAGCACCTTTTCAGCAGCGTCGTAAATCTGCACCAGCAGAGCTGAAGGCAGTGACGCATCCCTCCCTTTTCTTCCTTACATTTTCCTCCCACTCAGTGGGGAGTTCAGCAACGCGTTAAGACTGAGACTGTGTTAATATCTGTGTAGCAGGGGATCTC